CTCTCTCTCTCTCTCTCTCTCTCTCTCTCTCTCTCTCTCCTCCTTTTTCTCTTCTTTCTCTCTTTCTTCTCCAACGTTGTCGGCATTTCGTACGTTCTTAAAGCCGATTTAATATCGGCGTTTTCCCGCGGTCTTTTGCCGCCGTATATCGGATTTCAATCGCGACTGGCCGGCTGCCAAGGCGTGGACGCAAACAGCGCGCGCCGCACGAGTCCAATTATTTTTAAATGAGTGCGAGCAATTAATTCGTCAAGGAGCAAATTTAGAGGAAGATAGAAAGAGAGAGAAAGAGAGAGTGAATTCATCATAGTAGACGCGTACTCCTGCACCTGTAGACGACCGCACTCGACCTTTTCTTCTTTCGCAACGAGCGGATGTATTACTTGACTCACCTGTCGTGTCCTACGTCGCCCATGGCGTTTCCCTGTGCCGCGCTGTTTGCGCGACACCGACGCTAATTCATTCCTGTGGCGGACAATTTTATAACGGCGATGATAATACTTTGGCCGCAGACTCCCTTAATTAATCGTGCGATGCGAACGCGCGCAAAATAGAAAGGTGTGTCTGTCGGCCGCGGAAAATACCTCGACCAGAGAAAAAGTCCTCCATGAAAGTCCTACGGATACATGGTTGACCCGCTCCGGCAGCTACTGTTCTCCTCGTCGGTTGCAACCCCCCAATCGTCTCGTTACACACAGCAACCCGTAGTGTTTGCGGCTCTCTCTCTCTCTCTCTCTCTCTCTCTCTCTCTTTCTCTCTTTCTCTTCTTACGGTGGCCGGATTAATCCTAAGGGCGGTCATTCATTCGTGCAGGCTCCTGGCATTTATTAGCACAGGTCAATGCTTTAAATCGCCGCGCCGACACGCTGCGAATGCGCCGCGCCCCGCTTACACGCGCTTATGTACACGCGTGTTTATAAAGACGAGGGGTTCTTCTGTGACCTTTCTGTGGAGTCGACTATTAAAAAAAGAAAAAAGAAAAGACACTGTCAAACTCCGCGTATCGTGTCGTGTGAGCACACGAATCGTTTTATTTGTCGGTATCAGGCGGGGTGTCAGGCTACAATATTTACGGAATGCGACCTTTTGTAAAAGAATCGAAGGTGACTAAATGCAACGCTCACGACCACGAAGGAGCACATGCGTGAGAGCTAGCGCGCATAAATTCTCTTGGACGCAAATTTAATTTGTACAAGCTCGCGCGTTGCACGTGTCATCGCGTTAATTATCGGTGCGCGAGTGCGCGTCAGTGATTTTGTGTGTCGCTTGACTTGCACACCTGTATTTGAATCTTATTAAGCGCAATCGCGTACATCGGGTCGCGCCGATTATACTAGTTCGATAATTCGTACTAAAACGCCGGTAGGTGCGATGTTCACGTAATGATCGCCGCCGGTGTGCGGTAAACAGCGCGAAGGAACTAATTAGCAGTAAACCTCAGGCCACGGGATCACAGCCGTTTGCCTTGGCGCGTTTTACAGGTGCTGTGATCTCTCAGATTAGGCTCAGGTTGCGCGAATACAAAAATGTACGTATAACCCAAATCGAAATTTTAAATCTGCTTTAGATCTATATTTTCTAACATCCACGTGTTCTGATGAATCAGTGTATGTGTAATGCAATGAAAAGTGAAATGCTGCTTAGAGTCTGTAAATGGCAGAAAACGCACAAAATGCCACTTGTGGGTTCTAAAGAGGACCTGTCGGCAAAGCTATTAGTTTAAATAGAACCAAAATAAGTTAATGCATGCTTCAGGGAATCAAAATAGGATATCGAAATATTTAATGGAATATTGAGGTCGAAAATGGGATTAAGTTTCGACTCGGGAAGTCTTGTTGTCTTATACCTAAAAAATATATATAATCTTATTTTTTGCAAAGTCCTCTTCTACATTGATCTCAAGAGGATTTTTCTGAAAATAAAAGAAAAATTATTTATAAGCATAGAAGAAAAAACATCAATATATATGGTCCGAGCATTTTAATTTTAAATATTAATTTTAATTTTTTAATTTAAATAATATATATTAATTTAAAACGTAATTTTTACTACACATTATTTCCTCTATACAGATAAAATACGAAATTTCTCAAATCTTAAGAATATTGTGCTTAAAATATTTCAGGAGAATCCTCTCGAGGCCAACATATAATGATTTCGCTAAAGATAAAATTATATTTCGTTTGATTGTGCAAAATGTCTCACAAACCCTTCAATGCGCGTTTCTCATGTGCTTTCTGTTACAGTGAAGAAGGCGCGGTTCGCCTGCGAGGACGGTTCGTATCGTAAGCGAGGGTGCAAAGAGGGCGAGGAGGGGGGTGCGTTCCAACGAACGATCACACGCTCCCTCTCACACGAGCGAGATATCAAGGGGCGCGTGATGACCGAGATTCAAAATCGTGAGCGAGACGAGACAGCGTGTGACCGCGGTTTTTTGCTCACGCTTTCCTTCGAAAGCGCCGCGGACAATTTATTGCACTCCGATTGGAACAGTTCCAGCTTTCGCATTATGTGACTCCTCAAGCAGAATGTCGTGACGTCGCCCGTTTATACCGAAATAATTTTTCCGCCCGGCGATGTAAAGGATCCTCGCGGGGGGATCCTCTGCCTTTATAAACCACCACGCCGATAAATCTTCCCTGGACGATGTTCCGTACGATTCCGGAAAAATTATTGCGACTCCCCCGGGCGAATTTTTCCGATAGGTCGAAAACGAAAGTCGAACGATCGCGAACGGTGATAGCCGAGAAGTCCCGTAATTGATACCACGTGTGACCGAGATCAGTCTCCCCTTCCCCCGTTGCATTCAGTTATTATATACTCGTCGCGATGACAAACGTAACCTTGGCAGTCTCGCTTGAACGTTTATATTATGCACTTTTAATATTCCACCGTATGTGACGCGTACGCCATTGTACAGTCGCGTACTTATGAAGACCATTATTTCACGCAATGTCGCAGATTGAAGCGTAACGATAGCGTCCGCGCGCGCGAACACACCACACACACACACACACACACACACACACACACACACACACACACACACACACACACACACACACACACACACACACACACACACACACACACACACACACACACACGCACGCACACACTTGCCTTGCGCGTGAGCGTGCAAATGCATCCGCCGTATTCATGAATTTATTTACTCAATGTTCCCGCGAAACCACGGTGCATTCATGCAGCAAGCCCTTATCGCGACTAAAATTAGCCCCCCGCCCGGATTTTTTGCACACGACGCTCCCTCGCGACTCGCGCGCATAAAAACGAGCAAATATCTTCGTGCTCAAGTAAGTCGTCACGATACACTGCGAGGGAAGAAGTTTTGCTGATTTCACCAAATACCAGTATCCGCAACAAATGATTTGCTGATATGAGTAGTAAATTCACTGTGTAGTGGGAAAACAAATAATTTGCTACTTTCAATTTGCTGCTCCAAGCAGCGCTTTTGCAATGGAGACAAAACTAGCCTAACCTAACCAGACGAGAACAAATATAGTTTGTATCTCGGACAATGTAGGTTTATCAAAATGAAAAACGATTTGCAACGGTAACTGTTCGATCTGTTTCCCTGACGATCATATCAAACGGCAAACGTGCTTTTATTCTGATAACAGAGGGATTTTTCTCGGTGGTGGGAAAACAAATGATTTGTGACCTTCAATTTACTGCTCTAAGCAATATTTTTGCAATGGAGACATAACTAACCAAACCTAAGTGGACGACAACGAGTGTGATTTGTATCTCAGACAACGTATGTTTGTTAAAATGAAAAACAATTTGCAACGGTAACTGTTCGATCTGTTTTCCTGACGGTCAGCGAACGTGCTTTTGTTGTGATAACCGAGGGATATTTCTCAGTGCACATTCGACCAGTTTTATTTTGGACGGCACCCTCAGAATCGCGGGAAACCACGCGTTATTTTCACGTGTCATTTAGCTTCGTTTACGCCATCATCTAATTTTTTATTAATAGCCCTGGCTTTCTCTTTCTCTCTTGCTCTTTTTTCAAATCGGGTGCCAGCAAAGTTTTGCGCGCGCGACCCTCGCGAACACACGTTGCACTGTGGAGATAATTCCGGGGGTGCGAAATGTCGAGGGTTACGCACTGTGCCCGAACACGCCGCGGATCGTAAAGTCTCGCCCCCGCTTTTTGCGCGAACTTATCGAAGTCTTGCAGCCGGGGACGCGGTATGGTACGGCGTCGTCGTCGACGTCGACGGGGCTGTGGGCGGAGAAACTTATTGGAACTTAACGTCCCCTTGTGCACTCGTTCTCGGCCACATAAAACAGAAACTCAGCGAGGGTGCCATCGGGAGCGCTCTTAAATCGCGAACGTAACAGCGCTCTCGCTAATATCGCGCGCGCGTTTACGGCGAAGTAAAATGCCTCGGTCGAAAGAGCGACTCTCACCTGTCTCGTGAGATTCGATCGTCAGGGACGATAAATATCGTACGTATTGAGTCAATACAGACACTAAAAGCGACTCTTCGTCGCGACTGTTTAATCCCCCGGCATATCTCGCTCGCGTTTTGAGAGAGCAGGTGACGTGTGTGATCGTTGCTGTCGGCCAACGGCAGGGATTTATCGAACGCGATTTCAGCGGAAACGTTCAACTCCTACGTGACGTTGAAGCTGCAAAACGTGAAATCGACGACAGTCACCGTGAAAGGGGCCAATCCATGCTGGGAGCAAGACTTCCTCTTGTAAGTTATCGCCGATCTATTGTCGCCCGAATGTTCATTAAGCGCATTCGCGCGCGTGAAAAGAATTCGTCGAGAGCGTTAGCGTAGTTGAGCGTGTTTGCGAAACAATTCGGAAATTGCTCTCGCGCGGTTATTATTACAGCACACATATATTATTACACGTACACATATATTCACATATGTACACACACACACACACACTCTCTCTCTCTCTCTCTCTCTCTCTCTCTCTCTCTTTGTCGGCATCGCGAACTATCGCGTGCACGCTGATACTAAAGTATCTAGGATGGCCGGTAATTTGTGCGCATCCAAAGGAATCCGAGATTAATCATACTTTTATTTAACGGGATTTGCGGCGGAATAAATCCTTCCCACCTGCGTCGCGTCGGTCGGTCGGTTGATCCGCAAATTTTCCGAGAACGCAACGCCGAGAGCCGTGAAAATTTCCCGTCGATGAATACGCGACGGAGAAATACGAACGCTGCTTTTTCACGGGGGAACGGCCATTTCACCCGTTACTCTCGACTGATAACAAACTCTTGGACGCTCAAGATGAGATCTCCCCGCGTCCGTCGTTTTTTCGCGTACATATGTTGTTAAATGGGTCACTATAAAGAGACTGACTCCGTCTTTTGGCGCAATTTTGACCGTTTGCAATGCAAAGATGCATTATTTTTGATCTTGGCTCGTTCTTTGTTTTCTTCGCTCTTCCTCTTTCTCTCTCTCTCTCTCTCTCTCTCTCTCTCTCTCTCTCTCTCTCTTCATTTCTTTATGTTTGCTCGTTTGCATGAAGATTAAATCTTGTGCGTCTACATACATTTAGCATACATTTAGCATTGTTACATTGAGTTCCTACTATGATCTGACTCAGTGTTCTTGAAAATTTACAAACTTGGTTTCTTTTTCTTTCTGTATTTTTGACTATGCTAATAGTGTATTCATTTGTCATATAGCGTATTTATATCAATCGTTAAATGCTTGTTACTAGATCCTCTCACTTTCCACTTGTTACCAGATTGCTCTCACTTTCAGCGCAATTTTTCGCGTTTTAAATGGATTTATTTTTGGTTTTATATGGATTTATTTGTATTTTTTGTATTTAATCTGTTGTATACTATCATTATTTACATACCTTTTTGCCTTGACACTTCACTACTGCTTGCATGCTGCAATTGTAAGTGATAACTCAAAAGGTAATAATAAATATTCACTCACTCTCTCTCTCTCTCTCTCTCTCTCTCTCTCTCTCTCTCTCTCTTCCTTTCTCTCTTTCTTTCTTTTTCTCTCTTTCTCGTAAAATTTCGAAACTCCGTGACTCGACTTTTACGACGCGGCCGAGATCTCTATAAAAGCGTGGACCGGTTTAACCCCGCGATGTAACAACATTTTTCCGCCGTAGTCCCGCAAGAATTAATGAAACTTGTTTGTTACACAGCGAGACGAATGACATGAACGCCGGGCTCTTGGTGGAGGTATGGTGCAAAGGATTCTTGTGGGACCGCTTCCTGGGCTACTACTATATCCCGCTGTCAGAGGTGTCCTATATGAACGAGGTAACGAGAAATCAGTGCAACTTAAGTCGTACCGAGGTACAACAACAAGGTGAATCACACACATCGCCAGACATGCGTGACACCAACAGCAACACACAGCAAGACGTCACCGACACGGTACACCAAAACTCTCGTACATTCGCTATGTACACTACAATGTAATTCGACACACCGCTCGCTCGGATCGAAAAATCCGCCGATTTTGTCTCGTTCTTCGCCCCTCTTTCTCTCTCATTTTCTATCGTGGCAGCAACAAGTATCACTGCTTTCAGTTCGCGATATCTCGATACAGCCGTTCGAAGGCCGTCCCTCATTTCGCATTGCATTTTATTCCGCGTCGTAAAGGCGCGGCCATTTTTAAGGGGAAACACCGTCGTAGGCCGATGACAGTCTGTGAACAATACTTAAGCACCCTCTACACGTAACGTCTCTTTTTCTCCCTTTTTCTCCCTGTGTCTTGTTCTTTTTTTCTGCCTCCTAGTCACCCTCCTCATCGCCATCCTTCCGCCTCTTTTTCGCGGTCAGGCGATTCTGTACGTGAAATGAAATTCGACGAGTGTTTGCGCGTCAAACGGACGGAAATCAATTACGGTCTGGCACGCTACCGATGCACGCGCCTGGTATTCGGTTTTCGGCGCGGAACAACTGTATGAACCGCGCGCCACGCATCATCTCTCGACTAATGTCCGTCGTCTAATGGTTCTTTGTTATGACGCTGCGCAACCCTTCTCTCATTCTTTCTTTTCCACTCTTTCTTTCTTGCTGTTTTGTACAACGCGCTGTGAATCTAGATGGGAAGTCGGGCTACAAATGGAGAACGTGACGCAATCAATCGTCGTCGCTTCCAATGCGAGAGCAATTCGCCCGGTATATTATGTCGCGCACGTGCGACATCGAATCTGTGCGAGAGTGACGCGCCGCGGTGACCGTTCTGCACTGACGTTCCGTCAGTCTTACGATCGTCGTGAGATGCAGGGTATACATTGTACTCGAAGAATTAACACTCGCGCAATTTACGCGGTAACTGACGTAGCAAACGGCATACAGTCGCAATTGATACGACGATTTACATTACTCTTTCTCTCTCTCTCTCTCTCTCTCTCTCTTGGGTACACGTGTACATGCGCGACGCACACTGCGTTCATAATTAGCGTTGGATATTAATAGCGGTCTTGGGACCTAATTTCTCTTATCGCCGCGCCACCATCGGCCTGATGCTCTTAGGCTCTCGAAATGCAAGTTACCGGAAGTTGGGAATGTCGATTCGCCGCGCAGCGCAAATTACATCCCACTTGGAAACTCATGCGACAAATTGATGCTCTCGGGATAGGTAGTCCCCGCTTCGTCTTGCGGGTGAAAGGTTGACAGACACGAGCGCGATTAAGGTCCATCTCCTGCCCACTGAGAGCCCCTTTGGACCGACTCGCACGACTTGTCGAGGTCGTCGAACCTCGAGATTTTTTCTCCCCGGGAATTTTGCCTCGCCGGAATCGGTCCCCTTTGTCTTACTTACTTTCTTTCTTTCTTTCTTTCTTTCTGCCTTCATTTGCGTGGCGCGGCCCGCTGCACTTGCGCCACGCAAGGCAGACAAAAGTGAATTTTCGCCAATTAAATTACTCGAATGCTTGATCGCGAGGCTATCGGGCGACGAAGAGACGCGCGCGGGTTATCCGTTTATTCGATAAAATCGTCCTTCCCCTCGGCGAGAATAACTCTTTGAAGCTTTCTCTCCGGTCATTCTTTCAAATGGTTAGACAAAATTCACTCATGCGCGATTCGGAAACGAGGGAGCGATTCTCCGTCTCTTCTTCATTCTCCTCTTCTTGGTTGTTATTCAAATTCCCGGACGACTACCCCGGACGACTTAAAGTCAATCTCCCGTTTCTTTTCTTTCTTTTTTGCGGCGGCACCCTCTCATTATCGACGTTATGAATTGAATAAGCGCTTCTTTCTACGAAGGGGAGAAGCTCAGCTAACGCGAGTCGATATCACGAATCGTTTCATCAACTTTAGTATCAACGACGAAATCGCATTTCCCTGGCGCGGATAATTTCGCACATAAATACGAAAAAAATACAACAACATCTGTCCGTGAGAAGATACACATTTCGAAGAGCGGGGAAACATAAGTCGAGAACGTGTAGGTGGCAGTGGAGAAGGACGAGCAGAGTCAGACAGGCTTGTTTGCTTTTTCCGCACGAAGTGCATCTGCAGCATCTTTCGGGTAGAGTCGAACAAATTAAATTAGGGAGCAGACTCACCTTGGACGCGACTCGGTCACGTCCGAGAACATAACTCCGCTTTTATATGCGACTATTAGTGTTACCGTTCTTCAGGTATTCCGTGCGAGCTCGCGAAGTCTCCCAGTAGAGAGACCGCTGGAAAATGACGTCGCATACTGGTGCCGTGCATGTTCTTCCTCCCTTTCTCTCTCTTTCTCTCCACCTTCCCTTCAATCAAAATTAAAATAAAAGGGAAAGAAAAAAGCTGCGAATCGACGCTCTTTGATCGAAGATCGTGCTATTACTTTCGGAGAATCGCGTCAGCGGAACGGCGAAATCACCGCGGCGATGCGCGCGACTTCACCCGCTCCCGCCACCCTTCGGCCGCCGTTCCCGACCACGACATCGCCATCACTATCGGCAATTCCCGGATCCTCTTCCGCTCGTGACGTCACTTGGCGCCCGTCCAAATCGCGATGCTCAATGAAACGTTCGAGGAAGCCCGGCTGTGTGTGAGAGAGAGAGAGAGAGAGAGAGAGAGAGAGAGAGGGCGACGCGAGAGCGGTCGGTAGGGTTTACGACGAGCATTATGCTGCGTGCACATACGCGAGCACAGGGATGCGCGCGCGATAGAGGCAACGACCTTGACGAGAGATTCAGCTGATTCTCATGCTTTTTCCATGCCCGAAGGAAGGAAGCCTGACTCGGCGTCGTCGGCGAACTCGACTTCGCCTGAAGAGGGCCTTTCGACGCCCTAACGATCCCTCATTCACACCTACGAGACCACGTATCCGCGCAACTTTATATCCTTTGCAACGGTATCCATTACACGCGTGCCCGTTCTCCGTGGACCCGTGATGTATTACATCGCTTCGGCGCGTCGCCTAGAAGTTGATGACCGTGTGATCTATGATCCGCGAGCGCGCGAGGACAAAAGTGCTGCCTTTTATCTGCGCGAGGAGAGAATGAGGGATAAGGATAGAGGGGCGTCAAGATGTTCTCTCGACGAAGTCCTTTGGCGCAGCTTTCCGCTTTACGCTACAGCTCGATTGTGGCAACAATGGGGGGAATCCACAAATCACGCTATAAATCGTTCCTCCGCGAGTCCCCGACCAGGCCGATCGACGAACCTCGCGCTCCGCCGGTGACACTCCGCGAGATAAAGCGCCGGGATTGCGAGAACGGGTGAAAGGATGCACGAGGAACGGGGTAAATACATGCGCGGCCGCACGAGAGATAGCGCGCAAAAGGGACAAAAGAAGGCCTCGTGCGATGAGGAGACGGTGAAAAAGAGCGCGATAGAGGAGGGCTGCGCGGATGAGGGATGACGGAGGTGGACGAGATGACGAAGACGCGATACGCGGCGTGGCCGGCGACGAGAAAGGCGACGGATCGAAACGTGGCCGAGATAAATGAGCCCCGAAGTACCAATGCGCGCGCGAGGTCGGGATTGCTTTTCCCGCGTGTCGTGAGGACGATCTGGGTCAGCCGCGGCTTAAAATATTCATAAAACTGCACGCGAGCGCACTATATGAACGGCCGATCTTATACAAACTTGGGACTGCGTCAGACCGACGTGCGAACGATCGAGCAATTCATGTCGCTAATGCGCACCAATAACGGCACGCCGGACCGTTGTCCGGGCGGCGATGTCTTATTAACCCTTGGTGCTGGCAGTCGTCATGCGCGTGAGTGCGCGCGCGTGTTCCTGACGGCGGACTTGACAGCGCCTTTGTCAATGGACACTTTCGCCACATGGCATTTCTCTTGTCTCGCGTCTCACGTGGCGTATGTGGCGGCGAAATTTCGACTCGCGCGAAATGGAAGCTCCGGCTACACGTCGTCGTTGTCTCCTGGTCGAATTTCGCCAGCTGATTTACCACTGGAGCTACCATCTCCGCGATCAAGCACTGATTAATAGCGTGCGAGCGAGCGTTGCGCTCGCTTTTGGTTTTATTCGACGTCCGAAGAGAGATAGATCGGCCTCATTCGAGTCGGGTCTCTCGTCACGGACGATTTATTTTTTCGCGATTTGCATTTTCATTAACGATTCGAGTCTCGCTCGTTTTCTCTCTCTTTCTCTCTCTGTCTCTCTCTCTCTCTCTCTCTCTCTCTCTCTGAGGCTCGCTCATTTGCCCACGAAGACAGCCTAGATCCTTTCTCCACCTCAGCTTTAACGGACGCCGGAAAATCAATCGACGACGTTTAAGTGGCTCCCTGACATTTTCCGCTATAGCCCGGGCGGGAAAAACAAGAACGAGACCACGTCGATTTACTTAGCAGCGGCGGGAAAAAGGGAATAGAAGGAGAGGAAAAGAGAGAGAAAGAGAAGTCCGATTGCGGAGCCATCCGTGCTTGTGACCCGAGAGGCGACCTGATAACTCGGAGGCAAAGGGATCCAGAATCATTCTCGTGATCCACGGAGAATTTGGAACTGATGAAGGATCATGCTCTCACGCGCAAAACTGACGGCTTGGAAAGGGAGGGGAAGCGCGGAGGAAGCGGAAAGCGGTCGTCGTCGATCGATCGCCGCCGTCTTCGTCGTATACTTTTGCCATTTCCTCACCCCCTTCGGTAGCACCTCACTCCCCTCTCCCAGTCGTTTCCCTAATCCTATCGGAATCACGTCTGATCGTAGACACGTGGTCGAGCATTCCTGGCGCATGTGTTCCGAACGGGACAACCAGACACGAGTTGGAACATTTCGGCGGATTGTCTCACGAGTGGGTCGGGATGGGCGAGATACTTATTTGTTCGTCGGAGGGGGATGATTCGTTATAGGCCTTGGTACAAAATAGATTTCACCGTCATAACTAATCATGATTTGGTGAAAGCGTCTTTGTTGCAATAACTACAAATTTGCCGCAACCGAAATTTTTGCCACTGTTGCTTTTG